GGGTAGGGTCAAATGTGGTCCGATCATTATGGAAATGGACAATGTTATTTAGGCTTATATATAATTTATTTGTAACGACTTTTGTAGAGATACTAGCGTCTTTAAAAAAAGACGCTGTCCGTTTGTATGGGGGCTAGGTAAAATAATGGGCCGATTTGAACAATTCTCAATAGACTTCATCCTTCAGCAGAATAGTGTCATGTATGGCTGTTAAAAGTTTTTTTGTTGGTACTGGTTTACTGTACCAAATGAAAAAAGTGTGCGTTTTTTCATTTGGAACACTCATTAAAAAACGTGATAAGTCAAAAAGTTGCAGCTAATTTTCTTACTTGACATAGAAAACAGACCAAAAAAACTAATAAACTAAACGATAGAGCGAATCTTGTCGAATCCACCCAACTTTTATTCAACAGAAGATTATGTTACACATAATAAAACACTCTCCTACAAAGGTCATTTTGTGTACCACAATTCAGAACTAACCCGTACAAGCAGAGGCCACAAACCAATTTTTCCCTTAATAGATTCCCAATAATTTCAATTAAACCACTAATCCAAATAAAAAAATCTAAACTTAAGATTTTATGTGTAATCAAACTTAAACTGTAAAAAAGTGAAAAAATAATGAATTCAATTGCTAAAAAATATGCAAAGTTTGAAAGCTCACTAATGTGTGAATATTGCGAGTAAAATGAAATAAAAAAAATAAAAAATCACTTGGTTTCTTAGTTACCAGAAAATTAAAAAAAAAATTCAGAATTCTCAAATTTAAAATTTCCTTAAAGCGACACCAGATTGGCCATTTCTCCCACTGTGCTCTGGTAGATAATTCTGTTAGTGTTTTCCTACAATCCGATCTTACATTTAACTTTATCATCTGATATCGCCCTAATATACTTCTGGCTGCTATTTCTCGGACTTCTGCCTGGAAGCAACTGTTGTGATTAGGTAAACGTTGGTATATTTCTGTTTCTGGGTCTTAAATATAGAATCCTAGGCCCACTTTGTCCCCCATTTTATGGCCATCCGTGTAGCAATGGAATGAATCCTTATAAGTAATGCAGATGGTATGTAGTTGCCATTGAAAAGTAAGTTGTTGAGTAAGTACAAATCATTACCACGTTATTGCTTGGTAATGAGTTAAAAATATATAAAAACTTCTTTTCATAACTTTCTCGTTGGCACGGTGAGACAAGTATTTAGCACGCTCGCTTACAAATAAGTACTTAAATGAGTCATTACAAAAATAGGTTCATTTTGTGTGTGTAAAAAACAGTTGCATAAAGATGTAAAATCAAATTTAATTTAAAATAAAAATGTTTATAAATTTTTATATGTATGTGACTATTTAATAAAAAGTATTTTACTGTATGTGTGATCCCACAATATAAGTGAAATTTTTGTTCCCCTGAAAATTGTTATCGTGAACTTGCCGTGAATATTTCATTCACGATATTAAGTTGATTTTATACTTAACATCTGTTTATTGTTTTCAAAATTCCATCAAAAAATTTCACAACAGGAGAAATTATTTCATGAATGTAAAAAGTAAATAAAAAATTTCCGGAACTAAATCTTTGGGAATAGGAGTCATTGAGTAATGATTTGAAAATTATTACATTTTAGAAAAATTATTATACAAATTCAGACAAATTACAGATATTGATTGCCTTACATATTGATTGCCTTATCTAAATGGTGGAAATAAACCATCATAAACATTATTATTAAACTCAATAATTGTCAGTTGCGACAATGTGTTGTTGTGACGGCTAATGTGGCAACAACCTTAAATAAATTTTTGTTTTGCAAAGGTAAAAATGTTGATAAGTTTCGTTATAAAATGTTATCACAATTAAAATATGTTTATCATAAAATTGAATTGATGTGTTTGTCTTATTTTGAGGATTATTTTATATTTAAATGATTTATGTTTATAATTAATGTGTATGAACAATACTTATTTACATCTGCTAATGATAAATATATTTATAACACATATAACAAGTATTCATTCAGGTTTTTAAAATATATTAGACATTTACGTGGAATTGAATACAATTAGTTAGTATTGATTTAATATTTGTTTATTAAGCAGAGAAATTCTGAAATCCAAATTAACATTTTTATTTAATTTTTAAAAGTTCTATTAAAAATTTATAAATCTAATAAAATTCCTATTGTATTAATGAAATTCGCACACATAATTTCTCAAATATTATTTTTATTTAGCTGCAACCTTATATTTCTTGAAACGATGTTATTATGAAACCTTTAATTTATATCTGTTTCCAATGAAATGGAAATATTTAAATTTCTATAATTGTTTAATACCTAAACTCATGTTGCATCAATTTATTAAGTTTTCATTGCATGATTTCACAACCAAAATTTTTTTATATTCATTCAACCATATGTGTTCCTAAATACGGTATATGTGTTCCTAAATACGGTATGGACAACCACTCCTCGAAATATGACTGCACTCGTATAATAACCCCGACTCTCTGAATTTTTTTTTACAAATTTAATGCAGAGTTGGAAATTGAAATTAAAACTTTATACCAACATCCATGAAACATTTGACGTTTTTCATATTGTAAAAAAAATATTTTCTTTAAGACAAATTTGTATGTTGGTTATGTTAATGCTAAAATCAAAGAATTATTTTTTTCATTGCTGGGAAATTATAGAAATTTTTTCTCATTCCCTGGAATACGTGTGAAATTGATAAAATAACACTATGCAACACTATTTTTGGAAGGTGAAAAACTCCTTCGCAAATTGAAAGTATGCAATTAGTGTATTGAAACCCCCGCAACATTTTTCTGTTTACTGCGTATAAGTAAGTTAAATGCGGAGAGTTTGAATATATAAATACTAAAAACTTGGTTTAGTTGAAAAATTTTACTTGGTGTTAAAAAGCGCATCATTCAGTGTCCGATTACACCGTTCATCAATAATTTTCACACATAAGAAATCTACATGTACAACAAACTGTGGACCATTTGTATTAACTTTGTGTACCCAATTTTTTATAATCAATTCTTAAGGACCTTAAAGTTTAAAGGACGTATGATTTCAAAAGAAGAAAACTAAAAATTTTTCACAAAAAATTAGTTAAACTTTTTTTTTGGAAAATGAGACCTTTTTTATACCCACCATCAAAAAAGATGGTGGGTATATTGATTTTGTCATTCCGTTTGTAACACATCGAAATATTGATCATAGACTCACAAAAGTATATATATTCTGGGTCCTTGTTAAATTCTAAGACGATCTAGCCATGTCTGTCCGTCCGTCTGTATGTCTGTTGAAAGCACGATAGAGTCCGAACGGAACGATAAATTTTCCACAAATATTCTCTATGGGTAAGGTTTGTTTGGTATTGAAAATGGGCAATATCGGTCCACGTTTTCTAATAGCCCCCATACAGGTAGACCCCCGAAAAACAGCTTTAACGGGCATATCTGTTTTAAAAGTTTATAGCGATGAAATTCGACATAAACAAGTTTCATATGATCCAAAATCTTCCTACCAAATTTTATGAGGATCGGTCGATAATTGACCCTACCCCCCATATAAGGTCCCCTTCAGAAAATGACTTTAACTCTCATTACTGGCTTAGAAATACGAGTATAGTGATGAAATTCGACACACAAACGTTTCAATGAATCAAAAATCTCTCTATCAAACTTTAAGTGGATCGGTCCATAATTGACCCTACTCCCCATATAAGACCCCTTCAACAAAATACTTAAATGATCATTACTGGCTTAAAAATGCGAGTAAAACGATGAAATTCGACCCAAGTAAGTTCCTTGCGAACCAAAATCTCTTAACAAATTATATGTGGATCGGTCCAAAATTGACCTTACCCCCTGTAAGATCCCCTTCAGATAATTAATTTAATGCTTATTACTGCCTTAAAAGTACGAATATAGAGATAAAATTCGACATAAGCTTCTTACGAGCCAGAACCTCTCTACTGAATCTACATATGATTGACCACCATATAACCTCCCCTTCAGAAAATGTCTTTAAAGCTCATTACTGGCTTAAAAATACTAGAAAAGCGATGAAGTTTGACACACATATGTTTTATACGAGTTAAAATCTCTCTGCCAAATGTATTGAGGATCGGTCCATAAGAAAATTACTTTAACGATCTTTGCTGACTTAAAAATACGTGAACAGTTATGAAATTTTATATAAGAAACATTTATAGCAATGTAAATTTTCCTACATAATTTTATGCAGAAAGTGTCGGGAAGTGATATTCGATGTAAAGATGTTTTGTATGAACCAAAATTGGTCTAAAAAAATTTTATGAAAAACGGTAAATTATTAACCCTATCTCTCATATAAGGTCCTCTTCAGCTAATTTGATGAGTAATATCACCTTTTAAGACATACGGTTTGATGGTGGGTATATGAGATTCGGTACAGCCGAATATAACACTCTCACTTGTTAAAAATTAATTCAGATTCGCATGCATAAACAAAATCAAATTTTTCCCGTTTTTATTTTCCATCAATTCAGACACTCTACCAAACAAATACAATTTTATCTCTGATTTGATTAAAGCTTGTATAAAAATGTGAAAAAATGTTAAATATTTAAATTCATTGTTTGCAAAATTAAACGGTTTTTATTGCACTAGCTTGCGTTGCAAGATGGTCATTGTTTCACTGGGTTTTGTTGCAGTGCCCTTTTCCGTTTTTATTTTATTTTGCTCATTTTTTGTGCCATACATTGTATAGTAGTACTAGCTGTATTCATACATTAAATAATTATACAATTTATTATTTTGTGTATTTTATTTACTTTTCTCATTTTTGGTTTTTGTTTTGAATATAACAAATGCAATTAAATGTCAACAGAGAATTGCAAGAAATTTACAAACAATTTAATATTTGTGGTTAGAAAATTAAATACATTTTTGTTTTTTTTTAATTTCAAACTTAATGACGACTACAACTATTAACAACAATTACAGAGAACTAACAGAGAAATAACAAAAATAATTAAAAACAAAACAATTATTAGAGAAGAAAAGAATACGAGAGAATTGATAAATAAATAAATAAAATTAAATGAAATGAGCAAAACATTTAACGAATATTTATTGTGTGTGGATTTGAGAAAATTAAAAAAATAATAATAAAAATAAATTCAAAGAATTTTTTTGAAAAATCACAACAGCAAAAATAACAACAAATTAAGCAGAAATTACCTGTATCATCAATACTTTAAGGTTTGTATAGTAATTTTTTAAATTAAGCAAATTTTTAAGCAGAAATTCCAATTTACACAGATTTTAAAGACAACATATTTACTCATATACATATAGTACATACATACAAAAATATACATATATTTTAATATTAACATATGTATATACATAATATATATTTTTGTATGTTTAGTTATTGTGACGACATATTTACTCATGCATGACATTGACACTGTATGTGTCTGTTTCCGTTCTATTTTTAACAAAAAGTTCATTTAAACTTTGAAGGATTTTCATTGTGTTTGCTTTATTTTCATGTATTTTTTTTAATAAATGATTTCTGGCCCTTCTTTCGGTATCAATGAAAACTTTTTCATGTCATAATTAAATGGAAATTTGTTCCTTGATGAGCTATAATTATTTGAAATAATAACTTTTTCTTATAATTTACTGCAGTAAATTAAATTATATACTTCAGTAAACCTTAAATAAGAACACAAATACTACCCAGCGAAAAGATTTTCGTTTGCAATTATTAATGCTGAAAATGTGGGTAGTCTTTCAAGTGGGTTAGCTACGTTAATTAAAACAAGTTAGAGTGCTATATTACTATACATATTATATAAATACCCTCCAACTGTAAGCAACTTTTTATCAAAATAAATGGAGAAAGTTAAAATTTTACTTCCGTGATGAGGGTGTTATAATTTAGTAATTGCTTTATACATCTATGAAGCAAATTTTGATTAAGTCCATAACTAGTTTATTGACCTTTTATGGAGATATGACCAATTATTAACCAATCCGAACAAAATTTCGCAAAATGATTTATAGATACACCAAACACATTATATCGGATTTTATTAAGGACGTCACTGTCAACTGAAGTCAACTGATCTTTTTTCAAAATGATTTGTATATACACAAATTTTTATACTTATGCTGTATTTTATTCAAATATCTTTATTTTGAAAGTTGATCTTATCAGATATCACCAATTATGGACCGATCCGAAAAAAATTTTAGAATTATATATATGTATTAAAATATCTTTATTTCTTAATTAGTAATATACATTTGAGTTATTTTCGGAAGTGGACCTTATATCAGAGCTGTGATCAATTATTATGGAAAGATCCAGAAAAAATTTCGCAGGGTAATTTGTATGTACTTTAAACACATTCATGACGAATCTTAGACCGATGTCTTCATTCAGTAATGAAATATGTTCCTTTACGTAGTTATCGGAAATGGGCTTTATATGGGAGCTATGTCCAATTATGGACCCATCCGAAAATATTCTGTAGAGTGATAAATGTGTACATAAAACACATTTATGTCGAATATTTTTCCAATATCTTTATTTCTTAATTAATTATGTGCATTTAAGTGATATTTGGAGGTGGTTCGTATTTGGGAGCTATGACCAATTATCATATCTACATATCTTGGTGTATTCAGTTTCGTATGTTTGGATGGCTGTTGGTTTCATTGCGTTGTGTATTTTGTTTTTGTTTTTTGTGTATTTCGTTTCGTATGTTTGGATGTCTTTTTGTTTTTTGTGTGTTTATTTCGTTTAGCGTTGTTGTTGTTCATTATGTTTTGCTATTGTTATAATAGTCGGGAAAATGAAATAAATTAAAATTTTACAAAATAGATTTTTTTTAAATACACTATGGTGAAGGGTATATAAGATTCGGCACAGCCAAATATAGCACTCTTACTTGTTCATAATAAAGCATTTATCTTGAATATTACCTTGATTCCGATTTATTTAAGCAATTTATAGACGAAAAACTTATTTTCTAAAAGAGGCTTTATATGGGGGATAGGAGCAAATGAGTACCGATCCCGATAAAATGGGCTGCATAGATTTGTATTTATATAATATTTGTCTGTGCTAAATTTAACAGTGTTAATAAATAAATTGCGGATATTCAATTCACTTTCTGAAGGGGGCTTTGTATGGGGGCTAGGGTCAAATGAAGTCCGATCATTTCGAAATTCGGCAAGGTTTTGTATAAATCATCGAGATACATTTATATTAAACATTATTATGAGCTTAAAGGCCCTTTTTGGGGGGTTCAGTTGTATAGGGGCTAGGTAAAATAATGGACCGATTTTAACCATTTTCAATAGGCTTCGTCCTAGGGTCAAAACGAGTATAAACGAGTATTCCAAATTTCATCAAATTATCTTGAAAATTGCGACCTGTACTTTGATAACAACGTTTACATGGACGGTCGGACATCGTTAAATCGACTCAGAAAGTGAAAATTAAATTAAAATTTTTTTTTGGAAACATTAAAGAAATAGCTATCTGAACTCCTTTGGACAATTTTTGCTAGGATCAATAGGTGAAAAGCTACATTCATCATACAACCCTGTATGATCAAAATGTCCAATTCTGGACCGATAGCGCTGAAAATCTGTGTCTGGCCTACTACTTATCCAATAGCTTAACTAACCTTGGTGCAAATTTCATCAAAATCGGAAGACATCGATTTTTAAAGTTGGATCACTTGACAAGAAATGACCCATGTATGTGCAGCTTTTCTCCATTTCAGGAATTTTGAAATTTATGTGAATTTTTTATTAACAGTTCATAATTTTATTGTACAATAGATCTACTCTATATAATGGTCAAGTAGATATGTTTTTAAAGATACCAATACGGCAATCGTATAGCAAGAATCACTAGCAGATCTCGATCCTATTTGCTTCATGGGAAGTACAGTTTTAATGATACCAATACAGCAATCGTATAGCAAGAATCACTGTCAGATCTCGATCCTATTTTGGGAAGCACTTTTTTGATGAAGAAAAGTTAGTAAATTCATGATTTGTTACAAACCAAAAAACAATGTTGGGGGAAAAAATTTATAAATTTAATTTAGTTTGCTCTCTAATGTGCTATATAGCATATTTATGCATAATTTTTGCATATAAATAGAAATCTCTCATTAATAATGTGTGTTGTACATGGTAAAATGGTTTCTATAATTAGAACATACAAAAGATACTTCCACTGAATAGATAACACTAATTGACTTTTTGTTTACCTTTCAATCATCTACTAGGAAACATTTCAAACACAAATTTCAATTTTTCGGTTAAAGAACTGATTTTATGCTAACTAAACAATATTACTAATAACAAAGTCCAATTCGGACAATTACGAATATAAAGAAATACATACATTTACACAAATCTTTATGAAAGGTTATTTGGGGAAAAATATCACATTTTTTCAATATGGCGATTTTTTGGTGTTTTTAGTGTTAGACATCGGGTCAAAAAAGATGGCGGGTGTATTGATTTTGTCATTCCGTTTGTAACACATCGAAATATTGAAAGCATATACATTCTGGGTCCATGTCTGCCTGTCCGTCCGTCTGTCTGTCTGTCTGTCTGTCTGTCTGTCTGTAGAAAGCACGATAGAGTCCGAACGAAAAGAGCTAGATAGTTGAAATTTGTGATATTTCTTATAGATAAGGTTTGTTTGTTATTGAAAATGGGCAATATCGGTCCACGTTTTTACATAGCCCCCCGGAAAATTGCTTTAACTGTGTTAAAATGCGAGTATACCGATGAAATTCTACCAAATTTAATGAGGATCGCTTCATAAATGACCCTACCCCTCATATGGTCCCCTCCCAAAAATGATTGTAACGCACATTACTGGTTTAAATATACGAATCTAGCGCTGAAATTCGATATAGCTAAGTAACTTCTAAGTAACTTCTCACTATCACAAATCTATCTACCGAATTTTATGAGAATTGGTCCATAATTTACCCAACCCCCAATATAAGGTCCCCTTCAAAAAATTACTTTAACGCTCATTACTACCTTAATAATAAGACTATAGCGATGAAATTCGACATAAGCAGGTTTCTTTTGAGTTAAAATCTCTCTAACAAATTTTATGAGGATTGGTTTACATGGGACTCTACTCCCCATATAAGGCCATCCTCAGAAAATTACTATAACGCTCACTACTGCCTTAAAAATACGAGTATAGCGCTGAAATTAGACATAAGTAAGTTTCTTATGATCATAACTCTCTCTACTGAAATTTATGAGAATCGGTCCATAAATGACCCTACCCTCCATATAAGCCCCCTTCAGAAAATGACTTTAAGTTTCGTACAAACCAAAATCTCTCTACCGAATTTTATAATTGACCCCGATTAACCGTCCATATATGTTTATGGTTTAAAAGTTGGACAAAAATATTTTGATTTTAAAAGTGAACATTTTGTTAATCCGAAAGGGATGTGTCCATAATTGACTTAAACTCTATTTCAAATATCAACCTAATGTTTATAGGTGAGCATTCCATTTATGGCATACGGTTTGATGGTGGATATATAAGATTCGGCATATTCGAATATAACAATCTTACTTGTTAATTTTGTTTCTAAAATTTTATTTTTTCAAATAAAACGTACAGTTCAAAATAACAAAAACATATGCAAAACTTTGTTGTTCTTTCTAGTCTAGTTCGTGCGTCTTCTAGTTATGTATAAGACATCAGTATTTCGAGATATCGAAAAAAATTTAAAAAGAAGTCAAAAAGTTCAAAAGGTTTAAAAATTCTATAAAAGTCGAAAAGTCGATTTTTCATAAATTGTAAAGAGTAATTCTGCATTTCTTATTAAAAATCATCAAAGTTCATGGCCAACAATACGAATTGGATTCAGCTAATTTAAAATAAGTTTAATATTATCTTCAAAGTGTTTTGAAAACTGTTGGTGTAGTTAATATTCTGTGATTTAAACCTAAATTAGCCTACATGGGAATACAAGATGCAATTCATATAGATTTATTTATGTATATCAGCTATGGGCACATTTTTAAATCCTTTTTGTATATACATACTTATACATATGTAGATGTAAGTGGAAACTCCTACACTATAAGCTACTTAGTGTGATTTATAATGATGTACTTTTATTATTCCTTTGTTACCTTTGTCCCAGTAAAGAAAACTAAGTCATTAGTTTTTATAAAAAAAG